CCCCGGCCCGGTTTATAGTCATAGGCCCCGACCCCAGCCCCGGTACCCGGCGGGTACAGGGATGTTCATTCCGTCCCCGGTCAAAATATGATGAAACCTCGGTTAGACCCCCGGTCAAGACTGTGGAGAAAGCTGAAAAAGTGAAAAACTAGAATGCATATAACAACATTACATCCTAACCATATCTTAATCATCCGTGCATATCATCTACTCATACTGATATGGATAAAAGGAGCCAACATTAAACAAATTCTATAATATAAATGTAACCACTTACATAAAATTGTCCTTGCAAATGATCACATGTAAAAGGAATAATAATAATAATAATAATAATAATTTGACTTATAATCACTAAATTCATTCAACAATCAATATCTTCATCGTATGCAATCGTTTGATCAAGTCCTTTTGGTTCTCCGTGTTTTTTATCTGAAATAAAATAATGCAAGTCAGAAAAATTGTATACACCAATTTACATAATTATTATAACAAATAATTTATATAATTATTACCTTCAATTTCTTTCCTTAACCAACTTTGGTTGCACATCAAAGCTCCAATTGTTTGCGATTTTAGTCGACTTCGTTGTTTTGTTACCTTGTTTCCACTCATGCTAAAAGCCGATTCTAAAGCTATAGTTGAAATAAGAATGGCCAACACATCCCTCGCAATCCGCTGCATGATAGGAAACTTAGCACCGTTGCACTTCCACCACATTAATATATCAAATCCTTCATTTTGCGGTAACAATTTCTCTGACAAATAATCATCCAACTCGGTCGTTTCAAACATATCATCCTCAGATATCATATTCTCAAAATCCAGTTTCCATGAGGCCTTGTTTGAATAAGATTTCCCCCCACTTGAGACAGTAGTGCCACTGTTGATCCTCTCTCAATGATTTGATGAAAATCTCTTTTCACTTATACGTTGTATTTATGTTTCTGTCTTTTCAGTTCCAGCGATCTTCACTGAGCCTGTTCAGTGATCGCTGAAGAACTTGTATGTGACAGCAGTCAAATTCGGAATCCCAGGTTAGCTTTTATTAAGATTATATTAGTGTTATTGAAGTTAATTTATAGATTAGGAATTAGTTAGGTTAGTTTAGTCATAAATTTTAAGAATTTTCCGGCAGTTGCTTAGAAAGTCCGGTTTCGGCTCGAAATTATCTGAAACGTCCTATACAGTACCAAATGCTCTAATTTATACCCAATATATATATAAAACACTAAGTTTTAGTGTTTTAAATATAAAACCTTTCTATTTAAATAAATTTAGTCATCGTGGACTTTTAAAGTGTAGAAAAAATGTCAAAATTGAGAAAATG